ATTTCGCATTGCGATTTTGTTGGTCATTTTGGTAAATCCAAAAAAAGTTGGTTAAAATCGTATATTATAAGGTATTTTTGGTCACTGAGGCGATTTTCTCTTTTTTATTTGGGTTCAAATTTAATTAGGTATTGATAATTTAATGAGTATAATGTGGTTAAATGATAATTGAATCTTAATTCTTGATGGGTTTGAGCTTAAAATAAGTATTTAATATATATAATATATTAAATATTTAATAATTTTGGTTAATTTGATTAGTTAGCCAATTTGAAACTGAATTAACCTTCTACTGAATATTAAAAAATATATTAATTGTTTAATGACCGAACCAATTCAGTAACCGATTGAATTAACAGAATAATTTAGTTCATTCGGTTAAAACCAAAAAGTGAACACCCATACTTTTCATGAATTGATGCCTAAACTATTTTTTGAATCATCCAAGTGCTCAACGTTACGACATTAGGTGTTCAGGAATTAACAGTCGTTAAAAAATTCTGTTAATAGACAAGTGTCATGCTCTGGTATAATTTTAAAAAATAAAAATAAAAAATTCATATATTTATAAAAAAAAACTCTTTTTTAAAAAAAATTACAAAAAAACCCAAAATCCCTAAAACTCCCAAACCCCTAACCTTAACCTCACCTCTGTTTTCAGCCACCACTAACACTTTCCTTGCCATCTCCGTAGTTGAACGACGTCGTCTTTGTTGTGGAGTACCGATGGTCTTTGTGATGGTTATCGTTTCATATCGTATAAATATTGGCGTCAAGGTAGCTTTCGTTGCGATTTTAAGGGTTTTTAATACTGTTATAGTGTTTATTCATAGAGTAACTGATCTTCAGTGGAGGCACGACCAGGTGAAAGTTCAATCGATGACAACAATGATGACAGACGACGGTGAGCATAGATATATGGACTAGATTTAGGGGTTTTAAAGTTTAAAGGAGGTTTTTAAGTTTTTTAATTTTCCCCCCCTAAAATTAGGGCGACACGTGTCATTTAACGATGGAAATTAACGACCATTATGACCAGGGACCTAAAGTGATAACGTTTGTAACATTAGACACCTGAATGATTCAGAAAATAGTTTATGCACCAATTCATAAAAAAATGTATAATTTGAATACTTATTTTATAATTAAACCTTATTTTTACATGAAACCTTTAAGAATCATCAAGGATGACACATGTCTCGTTGAGCAACAATCTTGTCACTAAAACATTAATTTAATGATGATATTAAAGAATAAATTATTCGTCCTACTACTAGCGTCTATTATTGATCTTTTAAAAGATCTTTTAAAAGTTAAAATTTTAAATTTTGATCATGATTATTTTAAGGGTTAATTACATGATTGATTATTTATGTTTGTATTTTGTTTACTTTTCTTCACTGATTTCAAAAAACATAATATATGGTCATTTTCGTTTTTATTTAATTAATACATGTGGTTGTTAAATATTTTAGTATAATTACACATTTGATCCTTGTTATTTAGATATTTTCTTAATTTAATTATACTTTTAATAAATTAAAATAAATTTAATTCCCCCATCGTACCACATGTCACCATTGTTGAAAGACAACAAAGCAAAACAAATTAGAGCTAAAGAGATATGAACCTTAATCTATTAGGAAACTAAGCATGTACTCAAACCATTGAGCCAAGATTACAACTTATTCTAAAATAGACAACGTGGTGTATGTATTTTTTATTTTAGTATATAAATATTTAACTTAAATTTATAATGTTTTATATTTATTAATTTTAAGAAATATTTTTATATTATATTATTAAATATTTATTATTAACTTAATTTAAATATATATATATATATTTTTTATTCTTATCTAAACTTTTAAAAATATATTTTATTATTATTTAACTTTTCAAAGTATATATTTTATCTTAATTTACTAAATATATTATATTATTATTTTAAATTATTAAATATATTTTATACTTATTTTAACTTCAAAATATTTTAACATAAAATATATATTTTTAAATTCAAATAAAAATAAAATATTTTTAAATTAAATTAATAATAAAATATATAAAAATAAAATATTTTTAAATTAAGTTAATAATAAAATATATTTAATAAGTTAATATAAAAATATTTTTTAAAAGTTAATATATATAAAATATTATGAATTTTAAGTTAAATATTTATACATTAAAATACAAAATATATACATCATGTTATCTATTTTAGACTAGGCATTGGTCTTGGCTTAATGGTTGGATACATGATTAGTTTATTAAGTGACTTAGTTTTGAATCCTTTTGACCTTTGTTTGCTTTGCTTTGTTTTATTTCAACAAGAATGTGATACGAGTCACTAAGATGGGCATGGGTCAGGCCGGATCGATTTTTTATCACCCTAACTTCGACCTGATTACTATACTCCTTCACTCGATACTCGACATGACTTTGAGAAGACTCCATCTAACCCAAATCCGATTTGATTTTTTAAAATAAAAATTCAACTCGACACGACCCGAATATTATAAAAACCATCCCTAAATTGTGTAAAACCCCATAAATTAGGGTTCAACCAAAATCGAATAAAAAAACAACCAATAATACAAAATCAAGCAAAAACCATTGCCATATATTTATCAATCTTGCAACAAATCAGTATATTTGAATTCGAAATTCAAGATTTCAATTTCTAAATTTTAAAATTTCATATTTGGTGAAAGAAATGGTTAAAAAGTAGAAGAAAAAAAAAGGAAGATGAAAACGAAATGAAGCAAAAGAAACATGCACAGAGAGCAAAAGAATGTAGAGAAGTTAAGAGAAAAAAATTAGAAAAGATTAGAGGAGACAGACGACACTTCTGTAAATATATAATAAGCCTAACAGCCACACAAGACATGGATAAAATGATAAAACCTCAATCATTTATCAAAGTTCTGTTTTTTTTTCTTTTCAAATAGAACAAAGTGGAATCCACCAATACCATCAATTTAGAGTTTAACCTGACACTAAAGCTTTGACCTTTAACTTCAAACTTGAGATGGGTAGCCGAGAAAACAAAGGGAAAAAAGAAGAAGAAAATACATCAATTGAAAATAGTAAACAATGTTTGAAGGGTTTAATTATGGGACTGGGTTTTGAAAAAAAGAAATGAAAAGATTAGAGAAGTGTCGCGGCAGTAATTGGAAAAGAAATGGAAATAAGAAAAAGGGAGAAACCCTTATATATATAGTGGCATTTCTGTAAATATGTTATATATATATATATATATATATATATATGTCGGGTCGGGCGGATATTTTTAATGTGTAACCCAAACCCGACTTGAACCCGAACCTTAAAAAAACTCGACCCTATAGGGTCGGGTCAAAACCCATCGGGTCCGTGTTCTATGTCCATCCCTACGTGTCACACTCTAATTGGTGGGAAATAAATATATTAAAATAAAATAAATTAAAATAAAGTTAGTCCTCCAATTGAATAATAACACGCGATATCATTCGATTTGAGGATTGAATTTATTTTAATTTATTAAAAGTAGAATTAAATTGAGAAAATATACAAATAACAGGGGTCAAATATGTGATTATACTAAAAATATTTAATAACCACATCACATATTCTATTAACTGTTAACGATAATTAACTCGTAATGACCACATCTCAATTAGAGATGGGCATGAGTCAGATTTTTGGTCCACCCGACCCGACCTGAGAACAATGACTCCACCACCCGAAATTCGACCCGACCCGCATAATATATACCCTCCACCCGACCCGACTTTTTGAAATAAAATCCGAACCCGACCCGACTCGAAATAATAATAAAAATATTATTTTTATTCAATAAAAATAGTGATTTAATTGAAAAAAATTATATATAGAGGAGTATTATTGTAATTATTTCTAAATATATAAAGTAAAATTATATTTTTCCTCGGGTCGGGTAGGGTATTTTTTACCCTAAACTCGAGTCCGACCTGACCTGAACACCACCTTTAAAAAAACCTGACCCGTCCTGAGCCCAATTTTTTTTTAAAAATGAGATCCGATCGAGTCTGGTCGGAACCCATCAGATTCGGATCTCATACCCATCTCTAATCTCAATTAAATTAACAAAAATGACAATATATTATATTTTTTGAAATCAGTGAAGAAAAATTGTCAAAACACAAACATCAATGATAAATCATGTAGTTAACCTTTATTTTTAATATTTTAAACAATTAATTCTTATAAAATATATATTTAAAAGCTCCTTGATTAAAAGTTTTTAAGATATATTTTTTCTATAATTTTGTTAATAATAAATTTTAAATATAATGAGTTAAAATTAAAAAAATTGATAAAAAAATTAACAATGAATAAATTTAATAGGATATAAAGAATAAATCTAAATAGTTAAAATTTTAAGTTATTTAAAATCAGCCGAATATATAAAAATTAAGAAATAAATACCAAATTATATTCTTTTAAAAAGTCACATCATAATTTCATAAAAGAGTAATAAAAAATAAGGTAAACCATCCGTTTAGGGGTATATTTTAATACCTAAATTTTTATTTTTTAAAATTATATATAAAGTTTAATTTTTATTTTAGTTTAGTACTCGTTCAAAATTTAGCGTTAATTTTTTAATTTTTTTAAGGTTTAGGTACTAAAATAAATTAAAATTAATAGTTTAGGTATTAAACATGTTAAGTTTTTAATAGCCGGAGACTAAAATAAAATAAAAACTAAACTTTAGGTATAGTTTTAAAAAATTGAAAGTTTAAATAATAAAATAGACCAAAATTAATAGTTTAAGTGCTAAATGTGTAGTTTATCCTAAAAAACTGGGTTAAAAACGTTAATTAATGAATTTTGAAAGTTTTTAAGTTTAATGATCAGATGCAGTAACCTAAACGTTATGCAACTAAAAATGTAATTTTACCCAAAAAATGTTGCATTTACCTCGTAGGTTTAGCGTGTCTGTTTGGACTTGGGCACTAGGCTGTCGGTCTCCTAAACTCTAACCAAAAGAAAACCGCAAGAGAAGTGATGAGGAAGAAAAACGGAGTACTGAATTTGGAATTAGTTGCAAACCTTAGTTAATCCGATTGCTTTCTTCACCTCAGTCCACAATGACAAAGCTCACTGTTGCCAACACAATATGCAGGGGCCTCTCTCCATTACCCAGTAAAGCGTCCCGAGGGCAACGACCCTCCCATCCGCCGCCGCTCTCCGATCTACTTTTCAACTCGGCTCCCCAGTCCGGTTCTTTCAGATTAGGCGATTCCACTTTCTATTCCCTCATCAACCATTATGCCTATACTGCTGATTTCGCTTCTTTAGACGACGTTTTATGTCGGATGAAGCTCCAAAACCGAGTCTTTATCGAGAAGTGTTTTCTTGTCATCTTCAAGGCTTATGGGAGAGCCCATTTGCCCGACAAAGCAGTGGATTTGTTCCATAGGATGCCTCATGATTTTCGTTGCATCCCCAGTGTTAAGTCCTTCAATTCTGTTCTCAACGTCATTATAAAAGAGGGTTTTTATCATCGAGCTTTGGACTTTTATAATCGTTCCGTTAATGTCAATAACATCAATATTTCTCCAAATGTGCTCACTTTTAATCTGCTTCTCAAGGCCATGTGTAAGTTGGGATGGGTCGACCGTGCAGTTGAGGTGTTCAGAGAAATGCCTGAGAGAAAATGTCCGCCCGATGTATATACTTACTGTACATTGATGGATGGGTTGTGCAAGGAGGATAGAATTGACGAGGCCGTTTCCTTGTTGGACGAAATGCAAACCGAGGGTTGCTTCCCTTCCCCTGTTACTTTCAATGTATTGATTAATGGATTATGCAAAAAGGGTGACTTGGCTCGCGCAGCAAAGCTAGTGGACAATATGTTTCTCAAAGGTTGTTGTCCTAACCAAGTTACTTATAACACACTCATCCATGGTTTGTGTATAAAGGGGAAGTTGGACAAGGCAGTTAGTCTTTTGGATCGGATGGTGTCCAGTAATTGCATTCCAAATGACATCACATATGGAACCATAGTTAATGGGCTTGTTAAGCAAGGGAGGACGGAGGATGCGGTTAAAGTCATGATTTCTATGCAGGAAAGAGGGTACGGAGTGAATGAGTATGTTTACTCGGCCCTTATTAGTGGGATGTTCAAGGGTGGTAAGTCTGAGGATGCGAGGAAACTGTGGACTCAAATGATGGAAAAGGGGTGTAAACCTAACATTGTTGTTTATAGTGCTCTTATAGACGGTTTGTGCCGCGAAGGAAAGTCAAATGAAGCTGAGGAAGTTCTATCTGAAATGATAGACAAGGGTTGCACCCCTAATGTTTATACATATAGCTCCCTGATGAAGGGTTTCTTCAAGGCAGGCAATTGCCATAAGGCGGTTAAGCTGTGGAAAGAAATGGCAGAACATGAATGTAATCACAACAAGGTTTGTTACAGTGTTCTAATCCATGGCCTTTGTGAGGTTGGGAATCTCAATGAAGCTATGATGGTGTGGAGAGATATGTTGGACAACGGTTGTAAACCTGATGCAGTGGCTTACAGTTCAATGATTCAGGGCCTATGCAATGCTGCCTCGATAGATGAGGCTTTGAAACTTTTTCATGAGATGCTTTGTCAGGAGACTGAATCTCAACCTGATGTGATCACCTATAATATACTTTTTAATGCTTTATGCAACCGAATCAACATTTCCCGTGCCATTGATCTCTTAAATAGCATGCTGGATAGGGCCTGTGATCCTGACATAGCCACATGCAATATATTTTTGAGAACACTGAGAGAGAAGCTAGACCCTCCTCAAGATGGAAGGGAGTTTTTAGATGAGCTTGCCATCCGGTTATTAAACAGGCAAAGAGTTTTGGGTGCTTCCAGAATTGTACAAGTGATGATTCAGAAATTTCTGCCACCGAAAGCATCTACTTGGGAAAGAGTTGTCCAAGAGCTCTGCAAACCTAAAAAAGTTCAAGCTGCCATTGACAGATGTTGGAGAAACCTAGACTTTTAATTCTTTTGAATGGGACCTCGTAGATCTTTTAGTGGTTACTTCTGAAAGATTTGTTCATCACTGTAGTATTTCTCTTCCCATATAGCTACAAATATCATTGAGGATGGACCTGCAGAATATTGTTGGAGAGACAAGTCAAGCTGTTTGCTGCAATATGTGCCTTCTTCACATGCTTTGGAACTCCTTTTAATTTCTGTGACTATACTAAAAAATCGCATAAAGTATGGTTGACAATCAGGAGGTTTATTTCTTGTTTGGCTTCCTTTACATGGTATCTTCTCACAAGAAGTGCTACAGCCATCATCTATATGAAAAGAATGCTCACAGATATCAGGCTTGTTAAGGTTTCCAAGCTCGAAAAGAGAGCAAGAAGACCACTTGAAATAGCTATCAATCGAAAAAGCATGGTATTTATTGGTGTTCCAGTCTTTGGATCACTCATGCCCATGCAATACAAGTACTGTATCATATCTGCCCTAGCGCTCCTACAAGGACTGTGGTCATCCCCTTTAAGGGCTCCAAGAGCTCCTACCGGGACAGTTGTGATCCCCTTTAAGGGCACCAAGTGCTCCTAGGCACTTAGCCCATTTCATTTCTGCAGCAACAAACAGGCAGCAAATGGATCTATCTGTGTATTTCTGCATCATACATCTGAAAAGTGTCAGCAAGCAATATATAATTGTGATGATTGACATCTATCAAAGTAATCTTAATGTTTTGTATCTTGACAAGTTTTTTGATTCTTCAGCCATGGTGGCAATGTTGTCAAATCCATCGTGGGCAAAGTAAAGAATAGCAACTGCATGGAAGATCCTTTTGGCAAGAAAGGAGTCAAATTTGATGTTTTGGCATGAGCAAACCCCGGAATTATCACTTGAAATAATACTAGAGTATTCACTGCTGTTGCTATTCAATTGAATTGTGTAGTTTTCTTCATGCTGATTGTTGCATTGGTTGTAGCATTTACCAAATCTGCAACTGCAATGGGTTCTTAATAGATTTTATCCCTCGTGACATTTTTTTGGATACGAAGTGACTTAGGTTGACGGTTTAGGAGAGCGGGGAAGTAAGAAGCGATGCCTGCCAACGCTGCGCTTCCAATGATGCTTTCAGAAGTATGTTTCCAGCTGTGATGAGTGTCTAAATATCTCCTAATTCGATTCTAAAATAGGCAAACCATTCACTTACCACTGGTATGTCTGCTACAGACTCTATATAGCATAATACCGAAAACATTTCTGAAATACCTGAGGCAATAAATTACAAGTTAATTGCTGGTGTAGAGTGATTATGAGCTTCTTGATCAGTTAGCAAAAGGATGCCTGATCCAGTGATGGAGCCAAATCTAAACTAGGTAAGATCCCAAAGGCGAGGCAACATTTCATGTTGTAATGCTGGTGTGCTGATTCTGGAATGATTCTTGTGGCAAGAAATCATGTTTGCTCCATCTGCAGTAAGTTCTTTGTTGGAGCTTGACCTCGTATATAATTCTTTTGCTTTGTTCTCTAGATTCTCACGGCTTTTCAATTTTTTGTGTAAACTCCTGATGATATGTAGTACATGTGTATTTGTTAAGACTTTATATTCAGTCACTGATCAATGCCGCCATGATTTGTTGGATCCTTAGCACGGTGGTTCAAATTCCGTTATATATTAAGACAATTATTGCCTCTATACTCTTGCAATTGTAATCAAAACTTGCCTGGTTAATTACTGGTGTTTTTCGACCGTCACTCAGTAGCCTCGATTTCGTAATGAGTTATGACCGGTGAGCATTTAAAGGAGGGACTTGCCCCTTACCTGTTCGAGCCTCTACTGTATAGTTTTTATTGTTCTATGCTTGCTCCTTTATCCGATCACGCATCTAGGAGGTTCCATGTGCTCAATCACATTGATTCCGATGGAAATTAAGAATGTCAGACTCAATTCTCAATATCAAAACCATAGTCGTATTCTTGGGAAATTGTTGCACGTTGAATGCTATATTTTGAGTGGGGCGAGTCTAATGTAACAGCAGACAAACTTTACAACTAAGAAATGTAAATATTAAATTGTAAAAATTTAAGTTTAGATCAAAATAAAAAAAATAATTATTCAAGTTGATTTGAAAAGAATTAAATAACTAGATTTAATTAATTAATTTTTTAAAATTAAATATTCAAATTAAAATAATTTTTGCTCATCACTAATCATGTAAGTTTCAAAGGCTAGGTTGATTGTTCTTGATGATAATGGACAAGATTACGCTGTAAACTATGAAGAGAGATGTTTATGCGCACAATACTTTCCATTTATGCTTCATATGATCACTCAAGCAGATGGATGTCAAAATTACTTTATAGGGGTGATCTTAAAGAGGATAATTACATGAAACCTATCATTGGTTTGTTTTCTTCTTCCCTATTCGAGTTTATAAATTAAATCGCTCATTGCATGGTTTAAAGTAAGTTTTCCGTACAGTGGTTGGGCTCAGGTGGAGGGCTCACAAGATAAATGTAACATCCTAAAATACGGGTTAGTGACTAAATTGTAAAATTTTAGTATTTGGTGATGAAAGTAGAATAGTTGAATATCTCAATAATTTATGTGAAAATATTTCCTGAAAGTTATTTGTAATTATTAAAAGAATTAAATGGCAAAATGATCATTTGACAAGGAAAGATATTTCCCCCTAGATAAGAATAAATTACGTGGGGTTGGGGGGGGGGAGAGTTATCTACAAACTCTCTTCTTCTTCTTGCCTTCTTCTTCTTCCTCCTCCCGTATCTCTAAGCTCAAAGGTGAGTTTCTTTGTTAGTTAGTTATTTGTTGATTTTATGGTTGAGTTTTGATCATTATATGATAACTAAGCTTAAGGAAAGCTTAAGTTATCTTATAATCAAAAGACGAAGAAGTTATGAAAGATTAAAGAAAATGGGTTTTCAAGTGAGTTTTTGGAATAGAGTTGATAAGTTGAATTTGAAACTAAATTTGACTTGTCATAGGTGTGAATAAGAAGTTATAAGTGTTAAATCAAAGTTTGGATAATATGGAAAATTTAGTATGATTATTAGCCTTAAGAATTTGGATGAAATATGGAAGATTATAAGGTGTTGGAATGATAAGAATTGGTTAAAGTTGTTATAGATGAATTTAGTAGCATAATAAGGATTTTATACATGAAAATTTGGGTGAAGTGTTGATGATTTTTTGATTAAATAACCTATTCTGGGCAGGTGCATCGATGCACTATGAGTGTGTACCGATGCACTAAGATAAATTTTGAAGGTGCATCGATGCATTAAGGGGTGCATCGATGCATGGAAATTTCGAAGCTATTTTGTGTATCGATGCACCCATAGTGCATCGATACACCCCTAAAGGAAAAATGGAATTTTGGTTCATTAAACTAGCTTAAGTTATTAACATCAAGTTATAAGGTTTAGGCTTCTGATAATCGTCTCGAAAATTATGTTTATGTAGATATTGAGCCTAAACAAGTTCCGGAACAATCAAAGAGTTAGGATGAATCAAAACAAGACTAAGGTGAGTGCAATTTAATTTGTACTTATATTATTGAATAAACATTGGCTTGTGATGAGCCAGTGATGGAGTTACTATGGTAAGAAGTGACTCCTTAAATGTCATTTGAATTTTGATTGATATGATGACATGTATGTGTGTATGTATGTAATGGTTATATGAAAAGTATATGAGTTACATGATTTATGTGAAATGTCATGATAGGTGATAAAAAACGTGAGCCTATATGAATATGTGATATGAATGTAATATATGTGATGTACGTAAATCATATGAGAACAAGAGATGACAATGATTTACATGTCATATGAACACAAGAGAAGTGCTATAAAAAAGTGACATATGATTATTAAATAATATGAAAAATGAAATGTGCATGTGAATGTGTGAAATGATATAAATGATAATGCCCATGTTATGTGATATGAGAGCTAGTGGTATAGTTGGCATGCAAAGAGTCGAGGGTTACCTAGGTTCTCCGGGACTTATGGACAGTTGCCGAGGTTCTTTATGACCTCTGGATAGGTCATTCGGGACAATTATATGAGCTGTGGTGACAACATAATAATGCACAACCTTAATGTACTCACATACCCTAAGTTCTCAAAAGTATACATGAGCTAATACATGGGATTTAAAGAGAGTAAATAAATCAATTGATATGATACTATGTGTGCTTTGTTGTGAAATGATATATGTGTTCTATGATGTGTATAGAAATGTTTAGTATATGCTTATATGATAAAAAGAATTAGTGACATGTGTACATGGGTTAATAAAGAGATTAAACAAATATACTGAGGGTAATATGCATATGTGATTTATTATATGGAATAAATTACAGGATTCATGTATTGGTTATATGAAAGGATATATGTTTTAGTTATATGAAATGTTTTATGATTTAGTTATATGAAATGTTGTTGGGATTTTCGAAAGCTCGATTCGACAAGCCGGAACGGTTTGCAAAGAGGGGTCGGAACGGTTTTGTGTTTAAGGAGTAAGGAGATTAAAAGATAGAAAATTGCACAGCGATTTAGAGTGGTTCGACTTTCTAAACCAAAGTCTACGTCCACTACCTTAGCTCCTCACCAAGGATTTTCCAACAAATTCACTAATTTGTTCTTTCTTTTGAGGACAAAGAGATAACCTTACAACTCCCTAGTTTTTCCGGGCTAAACTAAAACATTTCCCTAGCTTTTACACGGGATAAGCTAGAACCTTTCCCCTTTAGAAAAGGATAAAATAAGTAAACAAGAAATCCTCTCTAAGGTAGGTGTTTACAAGATTGAGCTCACAAGAACAAAATATTTACAAGAGAAAGATGAAATAAGATTGAAAACTTTTCTTTTGTGTTTGATTGCTTGGATAGTTGTTCTCTTACATTTTCAAGTGTCCTTAGCTTGTATTTATAGCTTGGAATGTGTTTGATGTTGTATATAACCGTTGGGGATGTTTTGGAGCCATTTGGGGATGATTTTTCTACTCAAAAAGGCTGCCCATAACATGATGCATCGGTGCACTATCAAGGTGCATCGATACCCCTTCATTAAATTCAAATAAACTAGCCGTTGCAGCCTTGATGCATGGATGCATGGCAGGATGCATGGATGTATGGCAGGATGCATCGATGCACTAAGTGCATTCGATGTTTGAGTGCATGGATGCATTGCATGATGCATCGATGCACTAGTGCAGGTGCATGGATGCACTGGAGGGATGCACTGGAGAGATGCATGGATGCACTTTGACACCATTTAGCATTTTGGCTCAAATCTAATTTTTATGGACTTTGAATTATTTTTGAAACCTTTTAAAACTTTGAATAAATTCAATTAAGTCCAAAAATATTTTGTAAATTCAATTCAAGTCCAAAAACATTTTGCCTTAAATTGTTATATCAAAACATAGTTCAACAATCTCCCCCTTTTTGATATAACAAAACATTTGAAAAATTGTTTTTAGCAAAACTCCCCCTTAATAAAATGTTTAATGAAAAAGATACCAATTGTTGGAAAATATATGAAAATGTTAAGCTCCACATTTTTCATTAAGAAATTGAATTTTTCAAACCAAACTTCTCCCCCTTTTTGTTATATAAAAAATAATTCAATCTTTGAAGTTCAAAATAACTTTGGAGAGTAAGTGGTAAATTTGACATTTAAAAATCATTTTAAAAAAAATCAAAGCTCCCTCTTAATAAATGCATTCCAAACAAAATTTAGCTTTAAGAACTTGACACTTAAAGAAATTGAATTTCTACAAAGAATAACAAATATGTTAGTAGCACATGAAATTCAATATATCCAAGACTAAAATACTTTATGCAATACCAATTGTTAAA